CTAAACCGTTTTTTATAGTCTTTGGTTTAGGATGCACCTAATTTTTTCAAAGTCCGTTTATTTAATCATACGAACCCATTTTTTGGAAAAGCCGGGTATATGGGCAAAGAGTTGGCCTTTTAATTCCGTATACGCAATTGTGGAAATAATTATACCCCGGCTGGTTCCGAATTGTCGGTACAAAACCGAGGTGAACGCTCAGTTGAAAGAACAAAAGTGGCTTCTGGTCGCTGAAGGGAGTTAGAAAACAGCACAAATTGTTGTGCGTTACTAATCCCGCCGTCGCCAACGAGCGTCGCGGTCTCCACGATCTTGACGCCATCGATGGGCACATTGGGAGGAGTAGGGGAAGGAGAAGACGTTCTATCGATTACTGAGAAGACTCTGGATAGAGGCGGCCCGAATTTTCGTTCTAGAGGAGGTGGCACTGCGGAGAGAAGGTGAACACACTGCTCACCCAGAGTTGGACCTCCTTGTCGCAAGCGGTGACACAGACTACCGACGGACTGGAAGATGCCCATAAGCCCAAACATCACCACTGCTATGCAGAGTGCAATGATGAGGAAGTGGCTCACCACCATTGGGCTCGCAAGGCTCAAACCGCCAACCCAACTGGCCAGAGCCTTCCAAAGGTAGGCGATGGGACTCTCACTTGTGCTCTGCCAGTGATGATGCTCTTTTGAGTGAAGAAAGGAAATAGTAAGGATATACTAAGACTGGAACATGTTTCATGGATTTTCAGGAAAGAAGAGGTGTTGGTGGTATTTGTGTACGAGCCATTCTTCTAGTTGGGTTTAAATTACAACTTTTGTTAAAGTATTTGCCATTGACTTAATTATTTGCATTGAAACAGTTGATGTTTTCAATCCTCTATGTTAACCATAGCGCTGAAGTTTTGACAACCGAATGATAAGTTGATTTAGGGATTTTATAGCATCTTCTACTTTAATACCACAAGCTAATTACAGAGAGGAAGAATTCAGGATGTCAAAATCACTAGAATCCTACTTTGATGAAAAAAAAAATGTTACCTTTAAAAAGATGACAAGTCCAAAGTGTATCTATCCAAGACAACACTGACACGAGACGAAAAGCTTTTTTCATGTTCTTTTAACATCTTTTCAAACTCTCCTTTACATCAAACCACTTCCTGTCCCCACAGGATGTCATTGCTCAATGATTCAAAATCACTGTCAAAGTTATCAAAGAACCATCGGTAGCACAACGAAAACATGAAAATGTAGTTGTGATGGGAAGCTTACTTCTTTGCACACAACTGTTAGCTTAGTAAACCATTCAAGGCATGATTCCAATCAATGTTGTTAATGTTTTCTGTAATGGAGATACGCACATCGCACTACACCTTCTCAGATCGCCGATTGTAAAAATGCTCAGATCTCCATTTGTCGTAACTACGTGCTCCCGGGTTTCATTCCAGTGCTGAGTTAATGCCTTATTATGTGTGGCATTGCGTGCGCTCTCCGTCACCTCCCTCAACTGGTCTAAAATTTTGCAGATTTATTTAAGTATTTCACATAATACTAGATTTACACCCTATCGAAAGGGTGATTTCTCTGCAGATTTTTTTTGGCCCTACATGTTTGAGCCATTGTTGGAAGTCCAAGCTTTACTTGAGAAAGTCAAAATTGGAGGGGTGTCACAGAGGTGTGAAGTGGATTCTGTGAAGGTGCTTGGCGAAAGAAACCAACAAGAATTTGATGTGCAGTTTTAAAAAAAGGTGTTCCTGAGCACTAAATTGGAGCGTTGAAAACCACTATCCATTTTGAAAATGCTTACAGCAGTTAATATTACTGGGATATTTTGTTTCCACCATGCTAAAGACATTAAGTAAACCTAATTTGTTTTAAAATAGGCCAACGCGAAGGAGGTTTTTCTTGCGAAAAAAATTGCCAAGGTGATAGGTGCGCTTTGTCTTGAAGTAAAATAGCAAAGGGTGGGACTACTTTAGTCGCCATTATTAAAGGCCAATGTATTGTTTTGGAAAAATATGTGTCTCAGACGTGAAAGATACTTTGCAGGCTCTGCTAGTCCTTTGTTCAAAACCAGCACTTTCAGTCATCAAAAATTTGAGGGAAGTTTACGTTTTCATCTTTATTCAACCTGAAGACAGGGGTGGGAGGAAGTTTTTTGTTTCCAGGCGGATAAAATCGTAGTTTGTTAGGCTTTAATAACAACTTTGAATTTTACTGATTGTTTAACTCGTGGAGGGTCACTCAGGATCTGCACCGCCCACCTTTCCCTTACTCCGCCTCTAAGGAGGTCAATGGAACTGACACGTCACCAGCTTGAAGGCGCAAAATATACCCCAAAATATGATTCCAACGGAAACGCCGAAAAGGGATGCAAAAGCTCAACCAATAGTGGCTTAGGTAAACACTTCCGTACTCCTTTTGCTTTAGAAATCATTGCTCTTAATCTGTCACTGCCACAAACGAAAGGAATCCGTATTTTTGGCTTCACTACAACCTAATCATGGCAACACAAGGGACGAAGAGAGTGCAGATATTAAGGGAGAAAATTCTGGTTGCATGTTTAAATGAATGCAAAAAATACTCACGCAACTGTTGAATGGAAAGCAATCGCTGCCGTGTAGAATGTTGTGTCCCTAAATTCGCATTTAAATGGCGCGATTGGTATAAAAGGTCTCCATTCACTTGATGGTGTCTATTTCTGTCTGTGGAAACGAAGGTGAAATATAGTATATTGGAGGCTAGATACAAATTTGCAGACTAGTGCCAGGTCATGCATGGCTATCCTCAAGGGTACAGTAAATTGGGACAATCTGCCTCAATTATTCTAGTTAAAAAAGCTATTCCACCTATGCTTTTTTGTGCTTTAAAACGATTGTCAGAACTTTAGTAATCTCATTAAAAAGAGGAACTCCTCTAGGCAATTTGAGATGGGAGAGGGCGGAAAAGGCCCAGATAACAAACCCGACTGACATTATTCTTGCTAGCGTGTTTGGATGGTGATTATGGCGAGAGCTGTGGTGTTACACCTCTACCAGGTGGTCTGACTTCCCGGTCGTGCCATTAGCGTCTTAGTTCCTTCCTCCGTACACTGGTAATGTGGATCTTGGTTAGGTATTGTCCATTCAGTCTTCTTCGGAGGTACAACGATTGACTGTTTTCGAGTGGTTACTCGATTGAACCAGGATTTATTTCCCATTTTCCAGCAGTGAAATATCATTTCTTTTCAGACAGAGCATCAATCAACGTAATCAGATGTCGCTTTTGGCCGTAGTTGTGATAGGCTAATGCAAAGGCGGCGTAATCACCTCTCAGTACACAACGCTCTCCTTCCGGCCAGTTTTCACTTGAATAACTTTTCACTCCTCCTCATAGCACAAGCCTAATTATCAACATTTCTTGTTGCCTTCTCCATAAAATGCATTCTATACCTGTACTCAGTGAACAAAACTGTTTATTTATAAAAAAATCACGTTTTAGAATTTAGGCGACGATCCTCTCTCTACCCTCTCAAAGCAACTTGTAGGATTA